TTAAGACTAAGTTAACCCAGAATTATCGTTAATCGAGCTTTGAACAGCATAGCCCTGTACGTGAATATACACTGCGAACAGTTTGTCTTTTCCTTTTACTAAACAAGTTATTCTTTGACGACTATGGTAATAACGATGAAAATTATTATTACTCACTGGTTCTCACTGCCGATGTTAACTTACTTTGTGTCGTTCCCATCGTTGCGATTCCTGTAATGTTTGAAGGAAGCCCAAAGTCTACCTGCAGCCATTTCTGAGTTGTTTCAAATGTAGGGAACCAAGCTCTCGAGGAGATGTTGCTTGTATCAAGTCTAACGTCTTTCASGCGACTATCATTCTTGGCATTAGATTTTAAGGCCCAAGCAGGAATAAATCCTGATCCGAGACCCATCGGAGAATTGCACAGTGGATAATCTAGATAATAAAGTTGTTTTTTTTTTTAAGTAGAGAGATGCGGATTTTCGGATGGCTATATACTAATCAAAGATAACAACGATTATAATTATGATGATGGAATAATACAATAACCAGGAATAAAATATATATAATAAGAAGGTATACATTTTTACAATGATCCCCAATCCCAGGGCTGATAAATGATATCCTTTGATCTCCCAAAAARCAAATTCAAGGCCTTGAATTTATCTTTCTTTTCAAATTGACGCACTTTCAAGGATTCTTAAGGTTTGTACGAACCTTGCATGAATGGGTGTTATTTTGAAAAAAATTGACGCTATATACCTTATTCTTTCTTTAAGAAATATGAAATGGCGCGCGTGTGCTGTCCTCTGATATAAACACGGTCGCCACCCAATCAGAGCGCGCGTTATATCAAAAATTTTATAAAGTTTTATACATCTTTTCACGTTTTGAGGGTTCTAAGAACATTAGATATGAATAAATAGAAAAACACGATAAATCAGATAATCAGCTATTAATGTATAACAGAAAATGTCCATTACTAGTAAATACCTTTTTCCTGTACTTGGCATCCATAAAGCTCCATTCTCAGYGCAATGATTTGATGATATTGTGTTGGGTGCAGAAGGACATATCTCGTGTRCACAGGGTACGGTAATTCTTGCTTGATGATTGTCCCGTTGTCATAATTTCCATCAAAAATCTGTATTTCCAAGGATAGATATTAGATAAGAGATAGCTAAGATAAAAGCTGTGTGTTATAACGACAAATTGGGAGTGGATAGCCTTCCATGCTTTTCATGACGCCATGTTTCCAAACTCAACAATTGAGGAAATTATGTTGAAGATGGCGGTTTATAGAGCGAAAGGAAACAGTTGCTGTGTGGAGGACTATTAATAATAATACTTAGTAAATAGCAAAAGGATTATCTATAGTTCGAGCATATTCGACGAAGAGTTCTTTAAACCGAAAATCTTTTGTGCATAAATGGCACTAAAGTCTGACACACAAAACTGTAAATGTAAGTTCTTTCGACAATCCCATAATGCATCTTACCGGAAGTTGCATGACGTCATAAAGCGAAACAAAGACTATTGAGAAGAAACAAGTTGATTGAGAGCACTGGAAATGGTCAAGAACAAAAAKATCACTTACTTTAAAATCGCCTTTATATGTATAAGCTGTGAAGGTAGTTCCATCAATACTATACTCAAGTCTGTACTTTTTAACCCAGCCAATGCCGGTACTTGCACCTTGTGTTGCCACGCCGGTCAGTTTTGTCAAATTGTTCAGTTTTACCTACAATTACAGTTAAATTACCCCTATCACTGGAAAAAATCACGCGCTTTAAAGGTTGTAAATTTGATGAAAATATGATGTAAGTGTCCAAAATTCTGTAAATTTGATGTAAATGATTTCCATTAAATTTACAGAATTTTGGACACTTATATCAAATTTATAACCTTTAAAGCGCGCGATTTTTTCCAGTGATAAGTGGACATCCTTGGGAAACGTGTTCATTGGCAGTACTGTCTTCCTATTGCATTGAATACAGTGTTTGTATGGAAGGAAAAAGAAAGGAGTTTTGGAAAACGCTGCCATAATTAGATATGTCCGCTTGGGCGAGACCTACAATCTTCTGCAATATAAAGAGGTCACTTGCGATCCCTTCCCCTGGTTAAGTGTTGTTAGGATGATGTCTTCGCGTATTGTCAGGAAATCCAGTCCTTTTGTGGTCCGCAAATAACATCACTGAGGAGTAAGGGGTATGGGACGTAACAATTGTACAATGGTTGCTTCAGCAATATAAACAGGTCACTTGCGGTCCCTTCCCCTGGTTAAGTGTTGTTAGGATGATGTCTTCGCGTATTGCAAGGAAATCATGCCTTTTTGTGGTCCGCAAACAACATTGCCGAGGGGTATGGGACTTAACAATTGTAGGTTTCTTATTATTTTTTTGCCGGAGATTGTAGCTTCCCCAAGTGGAGATTCGACTAAATCACTGAAATATAACACTTCGCCACAATGACTTTCTTCCAAGTAATTTTACCTTGATCCAGTTCTTTACCAGTATTCTACCTCTAGCAATTAAAGTACACCATGAGCTTCCAGCGACATTTAGTTTTGGTACTTGAATTGGTGATTTGCATGATGAGGACACAGTTATACTTGATGCTGGTATTGCTCCTTYAGCTATGCCAACTGATTTACTACATAAGTCGCCTTTTGGAAGAGCTAATGAAACACAATTAATAAACGATGTAAAAAACGCTACTTTGAAATATTTGGAGAATGGGAAGAAGATCAAAAGAAGATCACTCGACTAACAAGGAATTGCTATAATTATATTTTAAAGTTTTGAATGGTTTGAAGCATTATATGACATTTTGAAGCACAACATTATCAGTGAAAGAAACCTTTCGGTACTATTTGATTTGGCAATATGTGCTTTTGCCCCCTAGATATCTAATAATTTCATCACAATTCAAGATGCCGGCCGCATAAAAAATCGGTAGAGCTTGGCCAATGAAAAATGAATAACTCTAGTGAGTGGCACTCGCCAATGAGCATTCACTCCGACTATTTTCATATTATAATATCACAGAGCATTATCAAGAATACTGGTTATTGACGACATTGCTTGCCGTCTTTCTTCTAAAATCAAATCGTCGATGAGGCCGACGCAGCACTGGGTATACTACTCAACATATTACCTGACATGTGGCCATACAGCTCCACTCGTAATGTCATCCCACCATTTGTCCATTCATATGGTATACTACTCAACATATTACCTGACATATGACCATACAGCTCCACTCGTAATGTCATCCCACCATTTGTCCATTCATATGGATGAATACGTACAACTTTGGTAAAGATGCCAGGAACAATGGTGTTTTGGACAACAGTTGTGTTGTCTGTATTACCAAGAAAATACTAGAAAGATAATTATATATGATCAACTCATGAGAACTTACTTACACAACATGGACCAGTCCATATTCGTGTTTATAACCTCCGTTGCAGCCGGTCGGGAGTTTTATGAGCGGAGCTTAAAAAGGTACCTTTCAACGCAAGCTCAAACGCCGTCYTACTTGATGCAAAGGCATGGTTTACCTTTAGTGTCGCATGGAACTGTAAAATGGATTCAACTGTGAAMTTCTCATATGTAAACGAACTTTACCTTGATTTCACCACGGTGCTTGTAGAATACAAACAATGAAGTAGATTCAATATAGCTCAGATAGTACTTTCTAGTAGGCTGATCGAATAGGTTGCCTGCTTGTGTAGCGATTCCACTGATATGATAAGCACTCTTAAGCTTAATCTGGAGCCATTGTGCGTGATCTACAACAATTGTTCTCCATGTATTCTTATATTTAGAGGAGTCCAAATGAAGGCGTGCGTATCTGGGATTGCATCCTTCGCTTAACGTAGAGGACGTTATTTGAGRGTCTTGAACTGCGCCACTCTGGACCCCGATGGGGGCCTTCTCAACCTCAGTATCTGCGGTGAAAATATTAGAATTTATTTATTGACAATCTTACGGTTGTTCAATGAG